TATTTTTCTAAAATTAAAATAATGAAGATGATAATATCCATGATTAACACCCTCCACAATAAAAATGGTTAATCAACCTCTCATAATTATAAAAAAATAAACAAAATGAAAAATTATGATTGTTTGAATGAGGTTTTCACGGTTTTTACAAATTGAGTGGTTTTTATTTGAACCCACCCCTATATATATAATTTGGAAAACTTTGGTCATATGAGTGAACCAATGCAATTTTCTTTTGCTAATTTTTCATCTTATCCCTTTTTTAATGTAATTTTCATTTTACCTCGTTTTATCTTTTTTTTAACCACTTAATTGATTTTATATATCCTTATCGTTATATATTTTTATTAATGAGTTTCGTTGTTACTTCTTTAAACGAAATACATGCATTTCAAAAGTAAACAAAAGGCAAACATAATTATATATATCGGGTTATATATGCGAAACAACAATTAATATATCTTTATAAATTTCTTTTTTATAATATTTTACTTCCATAACGATGTATTTTAAATTATTTTTTACTATAGTATTGTATTATGAAAAAAGTTTACCATTATAGCAATGAATTAATTTTTTATTTGAATTAAGATAACATATCAGTTACTAAATTTGTATCTTATATCATTGTCTATGTAAGATGTCTACATTTCTTATTATGTCATTGTACTTTCAATATTATTTTATCATAACATTGTAGGTTCTTATTACAAATCATATTTTTCTTATAGACACCATACATTGAATTAAACATGTTTCTCATTTCATAAATTAAACATACATAAAAAAAGCGAAAAGAACAGTACATTTCAAATGATCAAATTTGTAACTTACTCTGTAATGTTTTTGTTTATAGTTTTCTCCTTTAACATGTTATTTAATAAATATATTAAACTAATTAGAAATTTTTTAGATTATTCATTAATATAATGATGTTGAGAAGATTTGTAGCTTACAATTTATCTCATTAACATTTTAAAAAATATTAAAAAATATATAATATTTATTTTGAGGATCAAATGATAAATCGTCCTATTTAAAAATTTTAGGATAGATTTATATGGAAAAAGATGGAGAGAGTGTGTGTTTTTATTTTGAGATTTTATTTTACTGATTCTAAAGCATAGTTTTGACAAATGAAATAAAACAAGGATAAACCATAAGGATGGTGTTTGCTTGGTTTGAACTTGATTCCAAAAGTCAAAAGTACCAGGAGGTCCCAAATTCAAGTCCAAAGAGAAATAAAAATCCCCTTGTGGCCACGGATGCTCAAATACGGTGACTTCAGACCATTTACAAAGCAGGTGTTCGACCTAGAATTAATCGGTTCGAATAGCGGGTTGGATATCCAGTGTAATAAAAAAAATAAAACAATGATAACAAGTGGCTACAAACATGACACATGTTTAACTTCACCTTTATATAAACCAAAAAAAACCTACCGTTTTGGAACATGCAAAAGAAATATCTACTATCTCTCTCTCTCTCTCTCTAATGGAAGCTTCTGCTTACTTAGAAAAACAGAATCCCCAGGAGGTGGAGATCACAATCTCCCATGCACCACCATACCATAAACCTGTTAACCCTACAAGTTCTAGTAGTGGTGAAGTCGATGGTGTGTCTTTGACATGGAAAGACTTGTGGCTTACAGTTCCTGATGGAAAAGGCAAAACCCGACCCGTACTTGAGGGGGTTACAGGTTACGCTAGACCTGGGGAGATCCTAGCTATTATGGGTCCTTCAGGTTCTGGAAAATCCACACTCCTTGACGCCTTAGCTGGTATAAACTTCTTACTACAAGCAAATATGCATTACTATACATATATGATATACATACATAAATATATACAAATGCATGCAGGGAGACTAAACTCCAATACAAGGCAAAGTGGTGATATTCTAGTTAATGGATTCAAGAAAACTCTAGCATATGGAACATCGGTAAGCCATAATATCGTCTGTTTCATTTGCAATTCATAAAAGTAGAAAGGGATACATAATGTCTGAAATTCGAAAAACTTAACATATATATATATATATAGGCTTATGTGACTCAAGATGAGACGCTCATCACAACACTTACTGTCAGAGAAAGCGTCTACTATTCTGCCCTGCTCCAGCTACCAGACTCCATGTCAAAGGCTGAGAAGAAAGAGAGAGCTGAAATGACTATAAGAGAAATGGGCCTTCAAGATTCCATGGACACGAGGATCGGAGGGTGGGGAGCGAAAGGCTTGAGTGGAGGCCAAAAGAGACGAGTTAGCATTTGCATCGAGATCCTAACTCGTCCAAAGCTTCTGTTCCTTGACGAACCAACAAGTGGCCTAGACAGTGCCGCCTCATACTACGTGATGAGCAGAATCGCAAGGCTTGATGAACACCAAGGAAGGACTATCATCGCATCCATTCACCAGCCTTGCAGCGAAGTGTTCGACCTTTTCCATAATCTTTGCCTACTTTCTTCTGGAAGAACAGTTTATTTTGGGGACACTAGCTCTGCAAAGGAAGTAAGCAAGCCTAAAAAACAATCTTCAGTTCTTCTCTACTCAGTTTTCTATTCACAAAACTCTAATTAGCCATGAAAATCAACTAATTTTATCTTCCTTAATTCAACGCAGTTTTTTGCTTTTAATGGCTTCCCTTGCCCCAGTTTCCAGAATCCTTCCGATCACTTTCTTAGATCAATAAACAAGGATTTTGATGAGGTAATTAACTTATTAGCACTGGGCACTTCATCATATTTACTATACGAATTAATTGGGTAGCTATTATTTATTGTGTCTAATTCAAAGATCTTAACTGAAATTTGTAGGATATCGAGCAAGGTTCATGTGGAAGGAAATCTAGCGAGGAAGTGATTAAAACCTTAATAGATTCATATAGGTCATCTACTACATACCAAGATGTTAACAACACAGTTACTGAAATCTACAAGAAGGTAAGCTAGAATTAATACATTGATCACTATTAACTAGTTTAGTTACAGATCGATTGGATTAATGTAGCAACAACATTCATGATGAATAATTTCACGTCTTTTCTTTAGGGACTTGAAGTAAATGATAAGAAGAAAAACGACCATGCTAGTTTCTCAACTCAATGTCTTGTACTAACGAGGCGTTCTCTCGTCAACATGCATCGTGATCTTGGCTACTACTGGCTGCGCCTAGGTATCTATATAGCAATATGCTTGGGACTTGGAACAATCTTCTTTGATCTCGGCTCAAGTTACAGCTCAATTCAGGTGACGAAAACACTTGATTCAAATATATATACTGTTAACAATTCAACATAAATATGAATATAACCATGCACGATTGATCTTAATTCACGTATGGGGTACAAACTTGCAGGCTAGAAGCTCGATGCTGATGTTTGTGGCAACCTTCTTAACATTCATGGCCATCGGTGGATTTCCATCGTTTGTGGAGGACATGAAGGTATTCGAAAGTGAAAGATTAAACGGGCACTACACAACCGGTGCTTTCGTTATAGCTAACACCCTATCTTCAATGCCGTACCTGGTATTAGTATCCTTGATTCCGGGGGTATTAGCATATTACTTAGCAGGACTGCGTGAAGGATTTGATCACTTTGCATACTTCGCATCCACACTCTTTTCTTGTATGTTGCTAGTTGAGAGCCTAATGATGATCGTGGCGAGTCTGGTACCCAATTACTTAATGGGAATCATAGCAGGTGCAGGGATTCAGGGTTTAATGATTTTAGGTGGCGGATTCTTTCGTTTGCCTAATGATTTACCACACCCTTTCTGGAAGTATCCTTTGTACTACGTTGCATTTCACAAGTATGCATATCAAGGTTTGTTCAAGAATGAGTTTCAAGGAGAAGAGTTTATGTATTACGAAGGGGGAGTACGAAAAGTGGTGGATGGAGAATATATATTAAGAGAGAAATGGCAGGTTGAAATGGGTTACTCAAAGTGGATTGATTTGGTGATCATATTAGGAATGGTGGTGATTTCTAGAGCTTTATTCTGGGTTATAATCAAGATTGTGGAGAAGGTTAAGCCTGGGTTTAAGGGTCTAATTTTTGCTGTTCCCAAGAAGCACAGTAAGCAAGTTTTGGTAAACCCTCTTGCGACTCCTTCGCATTAAGTCGTTTACCAATTAAGTGAATGTATTATCTAAATCTTCTTTCACAAATAAATAAATAAATATATATATATATATATATATATATATATATATATATATATATATATATATGTAATCGGCAACTTTTTGTAACATTTATTTGTTAGTGTTTGACACCGTTGTATATTTAAATGATTGTATTTTGTTTAATCAATCAAGTAAATCATTCTCCCTAATTTCTAATATATTTATGATCGGTTGGGAACTAATTCGATTTCAGTTTGTGTTTGTTGGATTTGTCTATAGCTTGAAAAATGTATATTTTAGTAGCCAAACATTGAGATGTTATGAAACTTACATGTATATAGAAGTATGAAGCAGAAGATGAACATTAAGCTTATAATAAATTTACCCTTCTAATTAAAAGTATGTTTTTAAGATATGAACGATATATATGCTTCTCCCTGCAAAAGTACTTTAATTTTAAATAACACCCTAATTAAACGTGAATTGATTCTACATACTTGTTTCATTGGATGATAATGAAACCACAAAAGAGTGCAACATGTGAGACACATTCGTAAGGCACAAATTTCACTATCATGTCTTTAATGTCTCCACTTATAACGTGAATAACATTTAAGAATATTTGTTATCATTGGACCCTTGCACGTGGTTGTTGCTTCTTGACGAATAAGGAGGATATATATATATACATATATATACTTGGATCATGTGAGACTAGCTTGTTTTCATGAAACTCGTGAGACCATCTTTTTACACTTGAAACTTTACAGTAAAATGTTGTGAAGGTGACTTTTTTTAACCTTCAAAGTGTTTTTGCCGTGAAGTTTAAGTGTAAAAATGTGATCTCACGGGTCTCACGAAAACAGGTGGGTCTCACGTGAACCCAACCCTATATATATATAGG